TATTTGTAATTAAAAATATTTTAGGATGATATATATCATATTTTACTTTTTGTGGGATTTTTTGAAATTTTCATATTTTTTGTGTGTTTTATTTAAAATTTTGAATTTTTAGGAGTTGTTTGTCATTTTCAAATTGGGGTTTGTTTGTATTTTTAGGATTTTTTAAGAGCTGTGTAATTTATGAATTTTTTGTGCTTAATTCATAATTTTAAGAGTATTTTTTAATTTTAATATTTTAAAGGTTTTTTTTACAACTTCAGATTTTTTTAGGGGGCTACATTTTTTTTCAATGGTTTATCCTGATTTGATTTATTTGTGGGTCTTCTGTAATTTTTAGGAATTTAAATAGGGTTGTTTGTAGCTGTTAAAATTTTCTACATGTTTTTGTAATTTCAGATTTTTTAGCTAGATATTTATTAGTTTTCATATTTTTAGAGTTGTTTATATATTTATTGGTTAAATTGGAAATAAGAATGATTTGAGGGGTATACACTTTTCTTGATGGTTAATTTCAGCTAATGTAAAATTTTGGAGTAATGGCATTTTAGGGGTTAAGTGCGAAAAATCAAAACGTTTTAGGTGTTGTCTAAAATTATCAAACTTACCAAGGATTTAATGAGAATTGCAAATATTTTGGGAGTTTAATGCTCAAATTAAAGTTATGAGAGGTTTATTATATTTTACTTTTTTTAAAATAAGTATGGAGGGACACATTACAATTTTTTAGAATTTTTTAATTGTGGATAGTTCAATTTGTTTAGAATTAACAAAAGTTTAATTATTAGAATTTTCTGCTTTTTTCTAGATAGAATTCTCTAATTGTGGATATGAATGATTTTAACATAATGAGAATTCTTAGGAAGATAGAGTTAGTTGGACATGCGTCATATTCTAATATGATAGACAATTAGTTTCATTGTTTGTCAAATTTTGGTTAAAGATTTTACCTTTAAATTATTTGAATATATATTATTAATTAGGATAAGATCATAATATTTATAAGTGTAATATTTATTGACCATGAAAAAATTTTCTCACACGCACTTTTTTAAGGAATATATATATATAGAATAATGGAGGTGAGCTGGCAGCTCACCTCCCCCGTGAGCTGCAAGTGAATGAGCTACCAAGAGATAATCATGTGGCGAGGCCCACATTGCTAGTCACATTAAAAGGTGGGACCTCACAACTCTATCTCTTAGTAGCTTTTGAAACACATTGCAAAATTTTGAAGATTCTTTCTGATAACATGATTATTTTGAACCATTTCCTGTTCTTCACATTTTGTGTAATTCTGTTTAAGTTTATACATAGGATATGCACTCCAATGACTCCATTCTGTTTCTTTCTTTAGCTCATACTTATGACTTATATTTCTACTATATATCGTTAGAGTGTCCTATAGCAAACACTTGCTAATGAGAAGATCCGAATGCTTCCTGGCTCTATCTTCTTCCCACTTCATCTTAATTCTTAAATAAATCCTTTCTGTTATATCACGGTTCAAGTGTTGTATGACGTCTCTTGTTGTATAGGATTTTAAGCATGTTGATTAACAATGACTGATATGAGAGGGACATCTGTGATTGAAGTGCCAAAAAGTTGATTTGAAAGCCTAATGTTGGGGGAAATAAAAAAATACATATAGAAGGTAGTGACTAGATTGACTTATTTTACAAGCTTATAATTCAGATTAGCAACTGCAGAAATCACCAAATCTCCCGATGGCTGATACTGATACCCACAATGAGGAAGTGGAACCATAATTGATACCAAAATTTTGGAACTTTCCATTTTGCATCTTAATGATTTTGGTTGATTTTAAATCCTAAGAATGTTTTAAATATCGGCCGATAAACCGATATTATCGGCGATTTATCGGTTTTGGGGGCCTTCCGCCATGATAAGTTCAATTCTAAATCGGTTATTGTTTTTGGATGTTTATCGCCGATAATACGGCAATAAAGTGAATTATCGGCCGATATTGTCGGCCCAAAAATCGGAATTATCGGCCTTTGATTTGAGTTTGATTTTGGGCAACGGGCACCTATTCAATGCACGTTAAACCCGACCCGACCCGAGTTTCTACCAGTGGTTATTGATCCTAAATATTATTGTTTACCCTTTGGTATGTTTATATTTCATTAAGTATGGTTAGATTACATCCTGGAATATTATATTATGTATATCACCATCTGATAATGTCACTCCGATTAATGTTACTTATCCCCGATATCTGCTATTTGATATGTATTTTGGCCGTCCGATAAATCCCAGATAACCGATATTTAAAACCTTAAATTCCTAACATAATAACTTTTTTTATAAGTATTATTGTAATAGAACCTTATCGAAGATTTCTCCATGATCCTTGTGTGTTTAATTTTTTTTCCTTACCTGGCTTCGCTGTATCTTTTGATGATTTATTTGATTTTATTATATTGTTGCACTGGAATAGTCAACATAAATTGAAGATTATCATGGTCTCTTAGCTTGGTTGAGCTGCTATGAATATCAGACATGTCCAAAGCATGTTCACAAGTTCAGAGGTCTAGAACATCTCTTTTTTTTGGATTTTTTTAAAAAGAATAGTTAATATAACCAGAAAATAAATGTTTCAATTCATACAATGTGTATCATAGTGCTTTCTTAAACATGTATCTAAATATAATATATACTTTCTTATGTAGATTGCACCTGATTGGAGGCAGGCCTCATCTCTCAAGAAGGTGGTAGAAGATAAAATTACAAAAGGTGAGATTGATCTCTCATGGTTCTCTCAGAGCTCTCGTCGATCTGCAACTTACTAATACACAACACATTTCTTTGTCTCAGATGGTGCCATTGGCATTGGCATTGCTGCGACAGCCGTGGGACTTTTGGTTGGTGGAATTGCTGCTGCGGTTGCTCGGAAGAGGTGAAAGAATCCTTAGGGGGCAACGCATACCATAAAAGACCTTCGACCTTGTTGCTGACTCTATCATGCCTTCAATCTTTTGCATTTACAGTTGCCAAACATGTTACAATAATAGTTTAAAGATTTAATTTACAGTATGTTATCTCGATCTGCATGTAGAAGATACCTGCACATGTTTATATCCTGTTTTTTTCACAGTTATAAATGTGAGTTTTGTTCAATTGAAGCTAATTTACCCTTGAAGATAAGGGTTGATCGCGGATAGACCCCATGTACTATAGCCCAAGTGTGGGGACCTATAGCTGTATTTGTGTGGATGGGCCTCACTGAGTGAGCCTTTTTTATGCTTTTAAGGGCTTGTTTGTTTCGTAAAAAATTGCAGAAAGTGGGGGAAAGAAAATGAATTTTGATGTTTTTTTCTACTTTTTGATGTTTGGTTCGTCAAAATTCGGAAAGAAAGTGAGGGAGAAAATGAGTTATCACCATATTATTTGATGAGATGAGTAATTTTTGATGTTTTCCTCCACTTTCTTTATTTTTTGTTATTTCTTGTGTTTGGTTCATTCTTAAAACTAAGAAAATAAATGAGAGAAAATGAGCTGTCATTATATTATTGGATGATGTGATCCATACTTAGTAAAATCAATTTTCTTGTTTTTTTTAAGGAAAGTGATGGAAGAAAATTTTAATGAGATGTGATAAGTTGTCACCATATTATTGGATGATGTGAGTAATTTTTAAAGATGATAGAAAATGAAGGAAAGTTGGGTGAGGTGAGTTAGATGAGTTGATTGATGTGACTCATTTCTTATGTTTAGTTTATTTTTAAAAGTAAGAAATGAGATGTGATGGGATGAGTTGTTACAATATTATTGGGGAAAAGTGGAGAAAGTGAAGAAAAGTGGGTTAAAGAAAGTGAGGGAAAGTGAAAAAGTGAAGGAAAGTGGGTTTTGGACTGTGGGGGAAACGAAACAAACAGGCCCTAAGACCTAAGAGTGAAAAAGTCCATCCGCACTCAGCCAAATGGTAAGTGGTTTTTTCCTCCAATAGATATACAGGGGGTGATCAGCCAAATGGTAAGTGGTTTTTTCCTCCAGTAGATATACAGGGGGTGATCAGCAATTGGACGATAGTACAGGAGTTTATCTGCAATTAACCCTTGAAGATATCAAGATATTCTACTCACGCGGACAAATGGAATATGTTGTGCGCGGACAAATGGAATATGTTGTGCTTGGTTCTTCTTGGGTGTGAACTTTGACCGACAATAGAAGGAAGAATTCTCAATGGAGTGAAATAAAGCACCTCTGAAGTATTTCTGTCTGATTTTTTTCAACCTGGCACTGAGATTTTTGCGATATTCCGAAAGGAGAGTTATCAAAACGGAAGTCAGAACAATATTCAGAAATATTTGAGAATCTGCAATTCCCTTTTCTAAGTTCATTCAGCTGTATACAACAGAAATTCATCTTATGAAACAAATCAATCAAATCTTTCAACTGATGAATAATTCTTTTATTGTCTACACACAAATCCAAACTACCAATACTAACAACAGAAATTCATCTTATTGTCTACACACAAATCCAAACTACCAATACTAACAACAACATAACCATAATTTCAATCCAGTTGCATTTCCTATTTATGTCACGCTACTCAATCATAGACAAAGCTGCTGTCATAGCTTCTAATCATGGGATTGCCCACCCCACCAAAGTAAGCAAGAAATTCTTATAATCACCAGAAGTATCACCACTGATATCATCATTGATGCTGACACCATATTTCTTGTATTCTTCTTTAATCTTCTTCATATCGACTTCAGCTCGAGTCACAATAGCTCTCGTAAGCGAGCCTTCATCCGTTCCAAATCCCACAATTGAAGACCTCACCACCTAATTACAGACCACAGATTTCATCGGAATCAAACGACAAGGAACATGTTATCTTAAGATAAAACACTTTTTTTTCCATATCGGAATTACCTCTGCGAAATGTTTCGCAGGAGAGTCCAAACAAAGAACAGCAACTTTCAGCAGTGACATGATTAGTTCATCATTGCTCTTATTCCCCTCAATGTCCTGTTTAATTGGAACAAAACAATGTAAACAAACGATGACATACATTTTGTAACGTCGCAATATATTTAGAATTTATTGCACATAGAACCCCCGTAGTACTGCTGTTTTCAACTTACTCCCCTAAAGTTTAATCGTTGCATATAGACCTTCTAGGTTAAATTATTTTGACTCTTTTACCTTTTGTGAATGTGAAATTTTGACAAGATATGGCCCCTGGGTAAAATTAATGAATTTATTAGCGTAGAAGAGTCAGAAGAATCCAGGGGGTCTTTTTGCAACAATATAACTACCTGGTTAGCAAGTATTCAAAACAGTGACACTACAGGAGTCTAGGTGCCATTAACGCATAACTTAAACGAATGACCGTTTATTTCCTACCAATGAAGTTGCTCCCAGACAAACAATAAGCGAATGAAGCCTGGTTATGATTTCACAAGGATTCTAATATATTTTGCCTAAAGGTGGGCACCAAAACAAAATTTTGTTAGATTTTCTAAATCTGCAGAACCTTTTCTTTGTTTGTTTATGCAGATGAGAGAAGTAGAACGGTGCCTGCAACCCCAGAGTTTGTAGGTGTCAGAATTCACGGCAAAAAGAAAGGATTTTGAGGTGATCTAGGATTTTGAGTCCAATCCTATTTTAAAACTACAAATCAAATATTAAGAATGATTATTAGATTCTATCATATGTGACTTTTAAGTATCAGACAAACTACTAGTGGGTACCATAAGGTATTTTTTGGATCTATCATTCTCTTCACAAACAAACAAAAAATTAAAATTTGAAAGCTTATGGATTCTTTGGATTTATGACATTCTTTAGATTTAGAAAAATTCCTCAAGGACCCATAATATGGGACCAATAGAGAGGACAAGCGAGGTGTCCCCCTCCTATTGGATAATGAGTTGGCCATCATTAATGATGAACAACTCATTATCCAATAGAAGGGGGACACCTCACTTGTCCCCCCTATTGGTCCCATATTTTGGGTCCTGTAGCAAAGCTCTTAGATTTATGACAATGTCATAAATCCAATATAATAATCTTGGAACTAGGCAACCCCTAAAAATGAATCAGCAAAGCTATCAGAACAAACTTATCTTCCTATGATAAAAAAGTGATTTCTATTTCCTGTCAATCTATCAGCTTCAACACAAAAATGATTCAAATCAGTGACCGTCTTTTATTAAAATCTTTTCTCAAAGTGAGTTAATGAGATCCTTTTACCGCATTTATTTTTAGATAGCATTTCATTGTATTCGTATCAATTTGTTCTTTTTTTTACTACAGTTGTTGTATAAAAATTTAGATTTTAATCTACGCTGATTCAAAACCCATGCTCTGCATTTGCATGTCAGCGGGAAAAAAATATCACTAATAACTCTCGTAAATGCATTAAGGGGCTGCTTGGCTCCAAAATTTGTATTTTGGATTTGTGACATTGTCATAAATCTAAAGAATCTGTACATTTTCAAAATTTTAATTTTTTGCTTGGTTTAAAAGATAATGGAGTACAAACTTACTTTTGAAATGAAATTTTACAATATTTTTGTTTGTTTGTGAAGAGAATGATAAATTTGAGAAGTTATGGAACCCACTCATAGTTTGTTTTGAACTTAAAGTTGACCTAGCCACCAGGTGCAAAAGCATGCCCAGCATGCCCGAGCGGTTCGGGATTTCGCCCGACCCAGACTATTTGCGGGCTGGGCTGGGCAGAGCGCCACAAGCTCGGGCCTAGTCCCGGCCTTAACTTGGCCTGAGACAAGCTAAAAAACCACACCTTGGCCCAAGATTTAAGCCTAAAATAAGACCCTAATGCTATTAACCTCCACTATTTACAAGAAGAAGTTTTTTTAAGTAGGGGCCAAAACTAGGCCTAATATTATTAGGCCTCACTAATTTAAAAACCAAACCCTTAATTTTACCAAACATGCATTCAACCCACTCTTAAGTAAGTAATTTGGGTGGTTTGGGCCCAGCCTAAAACACGGTGAGCTAGACTTCCAAGTAGGATTTCGATAGCTCTCAAACCCAAAATCAAAAAGCCAAGACTAGCCTGGAAAAAGCCTATGCCCGGCAGGCCGAGCTTCTAGTCAGGGTTTGGGCAGCTCCCGAAAAAGCCTAGCTTAATGAATCTGGACCGTGACCATGTCTAACTTAAAGAAGTATAAGATAGAATTTAATAAGCATACATTGTATTGCATTTGTAATTTTTAATTAGGTCTGGAAAACATATACCAGAAATCCCCTCAAAATCCTTTCTCTTTGCCCGCGATTTTTGACAACCTAAAAATCTGACATGATGGACACTGTTCAACTACTCACATCCGCATAAACAAACAAAGAATAGGCTCTACAGATTTTTGATCTGATAGGAGTTTGTTGTGGGGCTCACTTTTAGGCAAAATCTATTAGAATCCTTGTGGAATCAAACTAACCAAGCAACCCCTTAGGAAAGAAACTGTTTTACTTATTGGAAAAATCTGTAATCAAAACCGATGTGATTACAGTTTGTAATTGTTTTAAGGGTAAATTTACAAAAAACCCTTAAGTTTGGGCATTTCTCTGGTAAGTGATAACCCTCCTCAACTTTAAAATGTCACAAAACCCTCCTTCAGTTTTGGGGTTCTCAATAAACCCACTTCAAGTTTCAACGTTTAAAAAAAACCTAAAAGTATGAACCACAATTTCTCCCAAAAAAATACCCCTCTGGCCTATGTGAAAATTGCAGTTAATGCTATTAGAGGGTTTTCTGAAAAATGTTGAAAGTTGGAGGGTGTTTTCTGAGGACCCCAAATTTTATTATTATTATTTTATTATTATTACTTTTTTGCGGGTGGGGGATGGGGGTTGGGGTTGTGTCATTTTGAAAGGTAAGGGGGATTATCTGAGGAACGCCAAAACTTAAGGGATTTTTTTGGTAAATGTCCTCGTTTAAAGGAGTACCTCATCAATGGTTTTCCCATAGTCTTGCTTGTAATGCTCAAAAGTAGCTTTCAAATGGGATTTGCTCCTTGTGCCAAGTATACGAATAACTTCATCATCATGAAGCTGATTGTTCCTGATGTCATCGTGGAGCTTAGCTGCCTCAGATTTGGCCAATGCATCGTCTACATCCTCGCCATTGTATCTGTACGAGCTCACCAGACGAACCAATAGCTACACAAACCAAACAACTTTGGCATTAGTTTACGCAAGGGTGAACTTCACAAAACTACCATGAATGTTAAACTACAATGTCTAGTGAGTTATGTGCGAAGCACGTGACGTGTTTTGAACAATTTTTCCTTTTGTGCTATCTACTATTGAGAGTTCTTTGGGTTCTGGTAGATAGCAATAAGAGTAGTTTAGGCATTTTATAAAGACATTAATGCCATTAGCAATAGTTTACAATAGTTTACGGTATTTTCTGCACTTTTAAAAGTTAATTGAAGTTCTTTCTTAAAATATTTTTATGCTAATCAGATCAGTATATCTTGAAGTTTTAGTTAGTTTTCTGAAATCTACCCTTTCCTCAACTTAAGAAACAAATGGTTGTCATTTTGTTACACAAGCATTATGATTAACAAATAATACCTGTCTCAAGGAATGGTGTTGGGCTAAGTGAAGGTCGATATCTTCTTCGAGTGAGTACTTGTATAGAGAACAATAAGCTTTTCTGACATTTATAAGATGATCTGGGGATGAAGCACATGTGATTTCGATGATCGGCCATAAATGTTTATCACCCTTCACTGATTTCAGAGCCTCATTAGCTAGCTTTGCATCTCTTTCAGCAGGGTCCAGTGTCCACAATATTACAGCTTTCTGCATCAATACGAAAAGATTAGAAAAATCACTACTTGTTGATTCAAAAGAAACTACATAAACATATGACCTCTTTCTCGTCGAAGATCATACAATTATGTACTAAATTTGAAAGTTCAGTCACTACTAACAAGATATGCCTTTGTTCGGATCAGGCAAAACACCGGGAACTGATTATAAAGATCCCTATAACATGCATAAGGATAGCTGAGGGAATATTGATCTAAAATACTTAATCTTGGCTGGTTTTTGATACTTAATGGGGAAACTGTGTCCTGAATACTAAGGATAACACCCGATTATTTAATTTTGTTAAAGAAAACATGATATTTAAAATCTGCCAAGTCTGTTTCATGGAATGTCCTGGTCTTTTGACTCCATTATGCATCAAAGAAGCAAAACACTAGATGCAAATGTCCACATGCCACTACTCATTAACATGGAGTTCTTCGAAATAAAGACCAGCTATATACAAATTCATTATCTCTGAACAACAAGATAATAAAGAGATTATATCACATACAGACGTGCACTGAAGAGCAGAATTCTATACACACAACAAACAACATAATTCTATAGTACTAACAAATTATAGATATTTTGCTATTTGGTTAGTAAAATTAATAGATTCGCTGGGATGAAAAAAAGAGGTAAGTATAGAAATTGATGCCTCGTGCAAATTGAGATTTTCAATCTCCTTTCTATTATTTCCACAGACATCATTTGTCGTGTCTATGTTTTATGTCGCGATGAAAAAACCGAAAACAGAAAGAAAAAAAAAAAGAAAAATCAGCGTTAAATGCAAAATGAATGAAATTTTCTCGCAAAATCTCAAGATCTGCAGAATTTCCCTTGAATCGAATCATGGGTTTCTCCGGAAACAAATCAAAAACAAAATTACATGATGTTTGGCAAGTCGGCAACCCCGTAAATCAAATCAATTACAAATGCACACCACCCTTCGTCCATTAAAAAAAGAAATAAAGAAAAAAACGTCAAAATCAGTACCTCAAAATCACCGGAGAGCTCAGATTGCAATCGAGCAATGAGAGATTCATCATAGAGACGCTTGTACGCATCGGCGATCTCAATCCGTTGCTTTGCATTTCGGTGACCCAGAATCTCTATGACGGCGTTCTCATCAGTTCCCCAACCTTTAAAAAGAAAAAAAAACCCCAAAAATAATACACAAAAATTAGAAAATTGGAGATTGGGCCATTAATTATGAATGGTTTTTTGATTGAGTACCGTCGAAGGCCTTCTTTAGTTTCTCGCTGTCTTCTTCAGGAGATGGGAGGTTCTTTGGAATGGTGATGGTGCTCATCTCTCTCTCTCTCTCTCTCTCTCTCTCTGATCTCTCAAATAAATTGTGGTGTTTTTTTTGTCATGCAAATTTGTTTTTGTCTCCTCTCTCTCTCTCTCTCTCCCTCTCATCTGTCTTTTTCTGCTGAGTAACCCCCTTCAATTAATTATAACTTTTTATTTTCCACGTTTTCTGTGAGTAAGATACAGGAGGCTAAGATATTGTTGTGATGATTTCAATGCATTCATCATGTATTTATATGTTTAATATTAATTGGAGAGGATATGAATTCTATTTCAAAAGAATTAAGATAAAAAATTATTGTAACCTGCATTTTTTTTTTGACAAAAGTGGCAAAGTATTTTCACGTACTTTTGTTAGTGAATATTTCATATCTATTCCTCTATAATAATGGGAATATACAAGAGTCATTATTTATACTACAGTAATTTATTGTAATATGTTGCTTAGTACAAATAAAGGATCCAAGATTCGCTATTCATGCTATAATAAATTACTATAGCATTTTTACTGTTAGCACATGCGAGAACTGTAGCGTTTAGTTACTGCGGCATTATTATTATAGTTCTAACGAGATACCACAGCATTTAAAAAATATTACTGTAGCACCTACAAAAACTATATTTAAATAAAGAATTACTGTAGCAGAAATAAAAAAAATAGAAGGCTTATTTTGCACATGGTGCCCGCTAGTAGTTACCTATAAAAACATGAGCTCAAATCAAGTTACAGATACCAATTGCAAGCGATCCGAACTGTGAATGGGGCTCCAACATAGCTCCGAATGGCCTTGGGTCCGATTCTGGGCCAATGTTATAAAAAATAAAAAAATTTAGATGAGCATAAATTAGATTAATCATGAGTCCTAGTCTACTATTTCAATATAAATAACTTATCGGCTGGCTCGAGCACAACATGATTTTTGAATTTCCCATGCAATATTTAGTCAAGCGTCAAAACTATAGAACCAAATATTTTATTCAGAGAGAACAACTAGAGTGAATATGTAAAAAAAAAAAAAACTTTTAGTAAAACATAAGGTTTTTAACAAAATTTAGCTAGTGAGAGTCGCCAGATGCCTCCTTAGTTTGAGGTCACTTGGATAATATGGGCGGAGAAGAGTAGAGTTATACCTTTGGGGCTTTAATGGGTCAGTTGGGCTGGGCCAGTTTTATTCTCTTGCATCTGTAACAATTTTATACAGCCCAATACCTAACATAGCCACCAGGATAACGCAGAAATCTTAGCTCGAAATGTCACTAAAAGGTGCTTCGTTTCTGAAGCGTTGTACTCCTTAAGACAAAAGATTGTAAACATAAGAAATTTTGTTTGTTTTACATCCAGTGGTTCTTGTAAGCTTCTCATCCATGTGAATTTCTTAATTTAAACACTCAAGTCTATCATGTATGTTTTTCTCTTAATCATGATCTATTGGCGTCTTAATATGTTCTTATGAGAATTTGGATCATCTTTCATTTATAAAATAATATGAAATTATTTTCATATCGTAACCAATTATTAAATTTTAAGATAGGTATAATCCTAATTGGATGTAAGTAATGTCCTTTAGCTAGATTCTTATTTTAGTGTTCTGCTTGGTATTATTATAATTGAAAAGGGGCTAGTTCCAAGGCATTGGAGACTATAAATGTGGATTGAGAGCTCATGGTGCCTATGTATCCCTCATTCTTACCATTTTTTTAAAGTCTTATAGTTTGCAAGTTTCATCTCCTCTAACTGCCAAAGCTCTAATTCAGGGCTGAAACCAAAACAACAAACAACACTGCTTGGGATCAAAGCTCGAAATCGAACTAATCGAAGAAAGAAACTCAAGATCGAAACAGAAAATCGAAGCAACCAACGGACAACAACCAACCGAAGCAACCAACAATACTGCTTGGGATCAAAGATCGAAATCGAAGCTCGTAATCGAAGAAAGAAGCTCAAGATCGACGCTTTTGAGATCGAGGCTCAAAATCGAAGAACGAAGCTGAAAATCGAAGCGATCGACAAAAGCTCGAAATCAAAGCTCGCAATCGAAAAAGAAATCGAAAGAAATATTGTTACGTCTCAATTATAGCTTTAACTATATATTAACAAATGCACAAATTTGTTTGAATTATCTCTCCACATACCAAAAATATCTTGGATGGAATTATATGAGATGTCGAAGCATTTAAAATTTTAGTTGTTTCAACTACGGGGATGTTTGATGCAATAGTGAGCGAGAATAAGATTAGGAAAATGATGTTTTTACGGATTACTTTCTAATCTATAAAAAATTTAAGGATAATTTTTTTTTTATCATAGAATGTTGTGGAATCCTATTTTTTTTATTTTTTTATGTTTGTTTCATAATATGAAAATATAGAACCTAACTTTATAGAAACATTCTAATTCCTATTCTTTTGTTTGGTTTGGAATGAGAAATTTTTGAGATAAATGGATAACAACACCATAGATAATCTTACCACTCACTAGTGGACAAAATATTCTTATGTAAGAAGTTGGGGTAATCTTACCCGTTTACCAAAATTCAAAATCGAAAAAAACACCATAGTAACGACTAGTTCCAAGGCCTTGGAGGCTATAAATGTGGATTGAGGGCTAATGGTACCAATGTATCCCTTATTTTTATCATTTTTTAAATTATCATAGTTTGCAACTTTCATCTCCTCCAACTGCCAAAGCTCTAATTCAGGCCTGAAAACCGAAGCAACCAACCAAAGCAACAAACAACACTGCTTGGGATCAAAGCTCGAAATCGAAGCGAATCAAAGAAAGAAGCTCAAGATCAAAGCTGAAAGTCGAAGCTGAAAGTCGAAGCAACCAACCGAAGCAACAAACAACACTGCTTGGGATCAAAGATCAAAATCAAAGCTCATAATCGAAGAAAGAAGCTCAAGATTGAAGCTTTTGAGATCGAGTCTCAAAATCAAAGAACGAAGCTGAAAATCGAAGCGACCGACAAAAGCTCGAAATCAAAGCTTGCAATCGAAAAGGAAATCGAAGAACGATTCGATAAGAGGTACGAAAAAGATTGAGAAGAGGCAAGAGGAGATTAGCAGGAGAAGACCAAAACCCAATCTAAGATTTACGGTGTGGCGGAATCCGGAAAAAAAGGGAATGAGAAGAGTAGAGGGTGTTGTTAGCTTTTCAAGCCAAATCCACTCAAACTCATCTGATTTGGATTTCTATAAAAACCCCACTCTTTTCCAACTTTACAAATATCGATGTCTATAAAAATGTTACGAACCTAACTTAAGAATAGAATACCATTAGAATCCTTTATTTACAGTGTTACCCCTGTCAGATCCAATCCCTACTCCTATATTCTATAAAAAGTGTACATGTAGGCTATTTAACAGTTCATGCCTGCTCATATCCGACGTGTTTCACATGCCCACACATTCATTTTGTAGCAATTTGGTTGAACTTGACGAGCTTCTTCTTTCAGAGACTCACAGTACAAGGTTGTGTTTGACAATCCTCTCAAAAGTGAAGACTGAACCCATCTTAGTTTTGAAAAGAACTGTTTTTTTTAATCCATGAGAAGGCATGGTCCATAGATCGAAAAAGAACTAGTTTAGTGAGGATTTTTTTATCATAGGTCTTAATTTTAACCAAAGAAAATTTTCTCAAAAAAGGGGATTTGGCCCCATTTAATTTAGAGGTGGCTAAGCAAGCTCTAAATTTTATCAGAACATCCTACATATGAACTACAAATAAGAAAGCAATGCTGAAATATTAATTGCCTGTTATATAGTTAAGAACGTCTCACATCTAATATGATATGTATTCTCCTCATCAAGTTAATCATTCAGTTAACTAATTCAGAATTGGTCAATTCATTGTTTAATTCCAGAAGCATATCTTACTCAAAAGGACAGTTAAGTCAAGTAGCAATGGTATCCAAAGGATGAAGACGACAATATTGCTGTCAAAACGGGAATATAATAATATAAACAAATTAAGGAGTTAGAAAATTCAGGCCTGATTGGGAGCAGTCGTGATATCACTGCCCTAGAAGATTAAGGACCCGCCTATCGCCCTGGCGCAGTTTGTCCTCTCTCCCCTAGCGGTAAAAACCCCCGGAATCGGCCGGCCTCTGCACTCGGGCGTGAGACACAGAGCTTATGCTCAGACGAAAACAGTTGCCCAGAAAATAGAATATGTAAATATGTAGCCGAAATCTTTTATTGGAGGTGAGTAGAGAAGAGAAGAGAGTGGTAGAGATTTTCCTCTTCGTTGGTGTGTTTCTGAATGAGCTCCAAGCCTCCTTTTATAGGTGATGAAAGGTGTAACCCCCGCTGGCGTGGCGTGTGCGTGCGCGCGCGCGTGTGTGGTAGAACCGCAAAGCCCACAAAACCCAAAACACTATTCAAAGCCCAATAAGGAGAGAACCATTATATGCCCTTTACTATTCATTTCATTTTCCGATGTGGGACTATTCACAAAGGCAAAATTGCATTTTCATGAACAAAACTTCCAACAGTCCCCCCCAAAAGGCAATATTGACTGAAAATAATAAATCAATAAATAAATCACAAAATAAATATAGGTTGGGCAACCTTTCGTATCGTGAATTCGGGAAAGGTAGCTTTCGGCTTTGAACCTTTCCTTAGTGAGTTTATCGCCACCTGAGGGACATAATGGACTAGGCCTTGAATTAAGCCCCTTGAATCAGGTATTGATAAAAACACACACAATACGCTTCATCTATTGAGCAAAGCGGGTTGAGCGTTAAAGGCCATGCTCACAAAAAACCGACTCATGAGAGTTTCTAGGGGTCAGCCCTGCCCCCCCAACCGCGGCCATCACGGTTCCTCTCACGTAGGTAAGTCCTCAAAGGGTACTACAGCTGTTTATTTAATACCCCCCACAATACACGCGTTGGACTTATTAAGAGTAAAACTCAGCCTAGCCAGCTGTATCATAAGAGCATCGTCATCATAGAGAAGGGGTAGTAGCAAATGCTACATAATGATATATAAATATATCTAGGTCGATGCTCCACACGAGAGTCACTTGTCCAGCTTGTTTCTACCACATTGAACCGACATTGGGACTACGTCTCCAAATAAGG